CTGCTGGTTCACCTTGGGTAACCGCAGTGTGTGTTAATTGCGGCCCATCTTACGATTAGGTGTCTTAATCAGTTCCCGTAAGTAGCATCTGATTTTAATTCACAAAATGTTGACCGTAACCAAGGATGGTAAGCGTGCCACACCGAGCAAAAACCAGTTTAATGAGCCTCTAGAATAATTCTTGGAGTACATACCGCAGCCCAAGGATGTAGTGAGGAAGCGTTAACACCGACATTACCGTAACGATGTATCGTGGAATGCCAAGTATGTGCAACCGAGCCTACTGAGTTATCATTGGTGCAGCTGCAGAGCAGAGCGCCACGAATTTCCACTCATTGTTCAGATCCGAAATGCTGGCCCCAAAATGGATGAAAAACAGACGAATCCCTGTCAATGAGACTTCGATTTCAGCAAGCTTAAGTCAATAATGAGAAACCCTTTGGCAAAGTAGTTGATGTCGTCGCTGACAGCAACAAATGTCGTGGTAGCCACGTTTAGCAGCTCTTGCAACTTGCTGGGTAGTTCGGATACGATATGCCTATAAGTATTGAGAAAATTCAGGAAAGAACCACGACCATCCACTCGGTGGACAACGGTTTAGGGAATTGCATAATAGGTGAAGACAGGATCGCTACCACTGATCGCCACTAATAAGTACGATACGACGCGAGTCATCACAACCATCAAGAATGTTGGTGACGTGTAGAGAACAGGTGTACAACTTAACTCGGTAGAGGGGCTGTTATCAGATTTTACTCGTTCGCATACCATTGAGTGAAAAAGTTGCGAACAACTCATGGATGATGAGCTGATAACAGCACATGTCAATTTCTCAAGACATACCAGTCGTGACAGGCATCGGTTGCTCAGAATAGTAACATTAGTATCTATCGGAAATACTGGCGCCTAGTAAAAAGGGAATCCATCAAAATACAGGAAGTTCAAATGCAGTATAGACCATGCAAATTTACTCCACCCGAAAGATTCGAGAACACAATCTCATGCGCGCTCAGGTCACTTATCCGGGTTCACAGAGTTTCAACCAGATCAGTGTCAGGGATTCAGATGCCGAGGACGGAACAAGTTGTTTAAATCCCAAAGTCAACGTATGTGTGCATGTGATTCTGATATCCATCCTACTTTCAGTCAATACACCCCAGTCATTTATAGTAGTAAACATCTAGGGACAAAACAAGATGAAATAAAGCGTGCGATCTTGACAAGGTGCACATCCATTAGTGGAAATCGTGTTTTAATGCAAATTGCTTCGTTTCCATCGGTCAATAATGAGCAGCTGCAGGAATAATTCTATAGAATACTCATGTGTTTTATGCGCCTTAACAAGAAAATGTGAAGAGGGATCCTTTAAGTTTAGTCCCTGTACAAAACAAGTGGCAGTGAGACACACATACACCGTATAGGGACTGAAGATGGGTGTGGATAGACTTTCATGTACTGTTTGCTTGTACTTAGATGTAAACCCACCTACGCATGGAGTAATTTGTTAAAAGAGTGATATTAAGGTGAGGACCAAGCGTGTTGTGTGATCAAACAGGCAACATTGGCATAATGGACACAAACGGAGTCACAGAAGCAAAATGCCACGGCTCTGAAGAGGATCACGCGGAACGGATTAAAGGTTCATAAGGGGGAAGTGCGGGGAAACACACCAAGAGGACTAGACTGACTGATTCTTTAGAAGCAGGAAAAATGAGGGGACAACAGACGAGGAGAAGAAAAGAAAATGGCAGTAGGACAGTATTTCGTACTGAAACCACGTCGCCATACGAGGGCAGAGCAATAACTCTCCGGATACGCGGTACACAGGGTAGGTGCAAATGATCGGGAAAGAAAAATGTGAACTGAAATCCATTCAGAACATTGTTCAGTGATCTCAATTCACTGAACCCTATATAAGCAGTCCAGCACAGCTCAAAAGGCATAAGGGTCGCTATACTCTGACTAAGTATGAAACTAAGTCAATATCACTAGAGAGCGAAGATTTTCTATGACTACAATCAGTACAAGAGTGCTGAGCGAATGTGTGCTGCATTTGGTGGCGATGCGCCTTCATGAACCACCGTGTTTGAGTAGTTTGTGGAATTCCAGCGTGGCAGACGGTCCCAGGATGATGAGGCATGGTGCGATCAACCTGTGGAGGCCACCACCGCGGACACTTTGTTGCAGTGCAAGCGATGCTGGAAGAGGACGCGCGGGTGACTGTGGTAAAACTAGGGAAAGCCATCGTGATTCCATCGAGATCAATCCGCACCATTCCACATGAGAACCTCGATCACTGAAAGGTTTGCCGACGCTGGGTAACCCATCCGCCCAGTGACCATCAGAAAACGGCTCGGATGAATCGGTACCGCACCATCCTTGCTAGGCTGGTTGGTAGAGGTTACGAAACTGTTTTGGAGATCCTCAGTGGTGATGAGATCTGGGTGTACAGCTTCGACCATGAGAGCAAGCAACAATCGGCTTAGTGGACAGCCGTTGGTGGGGGCGCCGCCTCAGAAATCCAGGCGTGAACACAGTGCGGCCACGCAGATGGTGGCTGTGTTGGTGGCCAAGACAAGTTATGTGGCTACTGTACCACTCCTACGGCAACGTACGGTCACCGCAGACTGGTATGCCACTCACTGTCTGCCACAAGTGCTGGAAGCTGTAGCTAGGTGCAGTCCAAGGACTCGAACACGACGGACCTGGCTGCACCATGACAACGTACTTGTACACACGTCCCGTGTCGTCGTAGACTTCCTGGTTAGAGAACGAATCTATGAGGTTGGTTACCCACGTTACAGTCTAGACCTGGTACCATGTGACATTTTGTGTACCCAAATGTCAAGTGCATGATGTGTGGAATCCGCTACGAGTCTCCAGAAGCTGCAGTAGAGGCCTTTATTGAGCTGCTTGAAGGGTTACCGGCTTCGGCATGGTCTAGCTGCTTCTCCAAATGGTTTGAGCGCATGGAACTGTGCATGAACGCTGGTGGAGAGTACTTCGAGAAAATGTAGTGCTTATTTTGTTGTAAAAAATAAAATATTTTGTGTGTGCACTCGTCATACCGCAAGATCACCAGTTCCGATGCAGAATGGAGCCGGTGACCCGTGTGCTACAAACCGAACATCTGAATAACTCGACAAACGACTAAAGAGAATGGTAAAGCAGTTATAGTAACGCCTCCTATGCCATATGTGCAATTATGGTTCACGTGGCCTGAAAAAGGTTATCCTTCGAGGTGTCATCAGTCGCACATCGAAGGCCCGTGTAAGCGAATTTTCCCCACGTATGTGTGCATGCATATACACACACAAACCCGTACTTTTAATGACATCCGCGGTCGGAGTGTTTGCTTACGACGGAGTCTGGTGGAAGCGAAGGTAGTCGATGCTGATCCAGTCGTGCCTCACTCAACACACATCCCGATTGACACTATCCTGAAAGAATAATTCGATGGTGAATGTGGATTGGGAAAAGGGTATTTTAAGGTCGACCGATATTTTAGTAACACACCAATCACTCGCCCATCTACACTGACGTATGACCGAAAGCACTTGGCAGTGACCTTAGTAAACAGTGGATGAGATCGGCACCTCAGGGTCGCGAACAGTGGTTACGCACACAAGATGAACGATTGTAAGTTTGAAACATGCAAATTATTAATGAAGAGTGGGGTCACTAAAGCACAACATTTCAGACTCATCAAACCACCACTCGAATTGGTGGGTTGGTCAGGCAGCGGAAGGGTTTGCTGGGCGATCAATAAAACCCATGTGGTTTATCGAAGCCTAATTCACCCGTGGAATCGAGCAGACATCTATGCAAGAGTAGCAAGCAATGTATATCGGCGCAGCTGGTCCAGCAATAATGAAAGGATCATGTGTAAAAGACATCGAGAAATAGGTGGACTCCGGTCATCAGTGCTTCCTGAGCAGTGTTCACGTCTAGTGAGAGTCCGGAAGGCGTGCTAGCAGAGGCCGTCAGCTGGCGCTTGGCAACAAACCCACTGAAGTAAAGTCAGATCATAAATTGCACTTGAACAGGCAACGCTGGCAAAGTTTGGTAAATTAAATGCCATCGACCGTTTACCAGGGTATGAATAATCTGTCAACAAGGTAGGGGATTGGGTGAAATTTCAGGGTGAGTAGTCGTTGACTTAACAAACAGTTATGAAGAGAATAGTCTGAAGATTATGTCATGCTAATGCATGTCGTATTCCTTGGTGGGAGATTCAGATAGATACTCCATCATGCATAGCTCAGCAAATGTTAAACCTACCACCCAACGTAATCATGACCCATTTCCGACGGTATTACGTATTTATCGGCTTGCTCGGCTGTGGCCGTACGGTGCAGGCGTCGAGTTCGTACTCCACAGATACCCGGTGTGCAGGTGCGAGCGGCCTGCACGTGACCCTCGACGGTCGCGTGACAGCGAAGCCCCAATACAAGGTGCCAGTCCACTGCTGGCGCATCTTCCTTTTTTATCTCCTACACTTCTGCACTGATGTGAATTCTGAGTAATAGGAAGCTGCGTTTGAAAACAACCGGATCCATCGCACCCGCAGGCTCTGATCATGGCCGGCTAATAGAACGTTCCGCGAAACCCAATGATCGGACGAATGGACAATCCAGAAATCGGATCAATGCATGCAGTCGTGTCAGACTCAAGCGATACGTAGCTGTCTTGTTCAGGGATTTATGGAACAAATTTGTGAGTGCTAATATTCTGAGCGTTTAGACACGTTAACATAGAATCGAGTAAAAACAATAGACGGCATGAAAACAGATCCTGACCGAAACGAAGAGTCTCGAAAGCTCCTTGTGTATCGACCCAGTGACCCAGCTGAGTAATTCAGTGCCAAAGCGAATGGCGATTATCACTCAAAGATCCGGCTGTGGAAAGTGCAAACAAGATGCAACTGACGCCTGAAGCAAAAGAGGTGTGCAGCCTCGATCCGACATGATGAACAGGGAGAAAGATACTCAGACGCACACTCACCTCATGTGCCTGGAGTGGAACTGCCCTACTGTACCAGTGATGGACAACGATCGGCTGTCGCATGAAGCGGAATTCATATCGGTATCAAAAGCGACACTCGATGGCGCAAGATTGAAACCCAAATGCAAGGTGGCTGGGTGGCGCAGCTCAAGTAACAAGCTACGTAATTCATCTCGCGTGTCTTGTGACACTTCATCGGGGTCGAAACCAAGTCTGAGTAGCTGCATGGTGAGCGCGCGAACAATCCACACGTCCAAATTCTCATCAATTCGCACGAAGCTCTTGTGTCGGCCCAACTCCTGTCCTAAATGCCCGTGGGCAGCACGGCTCAGACGACGTTTCGCCCCGTGCGAATTAGATCCCACTGGTTGCAAGACACGATGGCGTTTACCGGCAAACATAGTGACCGATTTTTGAGCAGGAGCGTACGGGTTCGGCTGAGTTGAAGTGGTCGCCGGAAAGACGGTGGTGATTCGCACAATACCCGATCGTTTGATTGAATGCAGAGCGGCGATGGGGAAGCTGCGAGTGATCACTTTGTTCGATTCTGTGTATGTGTGGAAAAACGTTAAAGTTAATGTTGGACACCGTAACAGTGGTGAGAGTAAAAATGGAGACGTTAATTGAGTAGGCCGATAATAATGAGCTAAAGTGATTAGATTCGCGAAGGCTGGAAAAGCATCATTCAAATGAACAGTTCTCGACTAATATGCGCAAAGGGTGCATGGGAATTTAACCAGATACATTCACAGACATTAGCGCCAAGATAAAGTTAGACAGAACCAGACAAAAACAAAAAGTAAGGTGTAAGTTAGGCAAGTAAAATCAGTAGCATAGCAAGCCGGTGTTTACAAGTGCTAAAATATTGAAGGGCATATGATAGGAAAATATGAATGATGGAGGTCAACCGAGAAAAATACAACCATGTTTATCATGCCGACTTCAAAGTTAATCGTCTAAAGTCGGGTAAAGGGAAAGAGTGTGCTTTGAGCAGTAGGGGCAAAAAGCGTACCAGTGAAAAGAAGGTTAAAAAATTGAGTAAAAATGAGATACTTTACAAGATAATGTCTCGAAAATCGTGAAGCCATTGACCTCAAGGTATAGAGGCAGCGGAACGTGAGGTACCGTTCAAAGATTAAAGGATCGTAAAACTTTGTAATGGAATAAAACAATAAACAGACGGTCAGGTTGAGGTGCAGTAGGCGAGACCGAGAAAAATGTAGTCCAATTCAAAAACGAGCCTTACGCCCCAAGGAGAATTAACATTCAGCTGTCGAGTACACAAGTTTACATGATCAAAAAAATTACGCTGAGTGCAGAACACAAGAGCCGGTCGATAAATGGCAATGGTACTAACATAGCTACAAGGCGAAATTGTTAATCAACTGCAGAACGAGTAGAGTTTGGTTACAAAGAACGTGCTAGATATCGGACGACAAAGGAAAGGTAAGCATTTATGCAAATATAAATGAGTTAGTATTTCTGTGATCGATGAAGTTGATGGTGACCGGAAAAAACAGTACACGAAAATTGCATACAGCAAAAAAAGTGTACGGAAAAATGTGCACAAGGAAAATTTCACCCTCGAAGAATGGCGCACATGAGATACGGCGAACATGGTAATACACCAGTTCGATCACTTTGCACCTATAGAACTGCGGAACGTTCAGAATACTCAACAGACAGAACAGTGCTCACCTACTGCAATTTGCCGAAGGCACAACGACTCGGTGGCTCCAACGCACTTGGTGTGACCGGACCGATTTCGTGGCTAGCCTAGTCTTGGCTTGATGAGGTTGGTGAACGCGTCGAAAGACTGATCGCCATTTTGTACACATCATGGTGCTGCACATGGAACGATGTCCATATAATAAATTTCCCAACCAGCAAAACGCCTGGACGTAAAATTTGTAACAGTCTGCAGATGTGCCCAGTTTGTTTCACTACAATGTGTACAAGTGTAATCGAACTTACCTCTTCTGTTGCACACTTAGAGGACCGATGAGAAATGTACTGTCAGTTCGAGACGTTTTAGTAAACCGAAAAACGCCCACGGTCGGATCCTTCGCACATCTGCGACACGCGCTGCCATTCCCGCTTCTCCAACCAGCATGGTTCATCGATATCACTATAAAGAGGACACTTGTAGGCCCACAGTAAAAGCGTGTTCCATCATGATTCCGTTCCTCTGGACTAATATTTGTGCCTGCCGCCATAAAATGCTCACGAACTGGTCACACCAAGTGCCTTAGAGTAACCGAATCGCTGAGGCTTCGGAAAAGTTCAGTAAGCGAACAGTGTTCTGTCTGTTGAGTATTCTGGGTGAGTCATTAGGGATTTGACATGTTGGGCAGTCCTATAGGTGCACAGCGATCGAATTGGTGTATTTCTGTGCATCATTCTCCGAGGGTGAAAGCTTCCTTGTACGCACTTTTCTGTGTACGTATTTTTCCGTGTACGCAATTCTCGTGTAGGTTTTCATAAATGGAACCGAAGTTGATGTACAGAGGGCGCACCATGAAGAAAGGGGTCTGCATCATTGAGTACTTTTTGAGCAGGTCTTTCGCAAAAAATAGTACCATCAGACACAACAATGTCAACAAAGAACGGCTTTGAAATGCCGCAACCCACAAAAAAATGTTTCAAGGATTTATCAAGTGATCATCATTATACACATTATCTAAGGCTGAGAGACATCCCATCTATTGCGCTGCAACGTAATTCAATCAAGTGGCAAGAAAAAGGGAGTAAAAAACGAGGCAACAAAAAAATGATTGACCTCACCGGTCAAACTCGATGTGGGCAGATGAGAGCGACTGGTACAGTGGAGATTTTTTTGAAACAATCGAAGTGAAATGGGGCGAAGGAAGTATGAAACCAACTAGGACGTGCGATTAGCTTATACGGAACGCGAACATAATATATAGAAGGCAGGAACCACACAGGCGATTAACCATAGGGAGGAGAGTCGAAAGCATGATAAGCGAGCCACGAACTCCAAAGGGGGTATAAGCGAGTTGGTGAGACAGTATATAAAGGAAATTGAGAACTTACGATAAGGATCCCTAGGTACACCGGTAAAAATCAGACGATAATTTGTCACGAACAGCGCACCCTGCGCAGGTAAGAGCTGACGCAACATAGCGTCGACCTCAACTTCTGTCTCAGTTGGAGAGCCGAGGCTTGGACGTTCAGAAGAGGTGGTTGATTGTGCGGTGTTTTTCAAATCACCAGCAGCATCCAACCATTGCCAATCTGTTCGCTCCAAACGACCGTCGACCAATAATTGACATTGGACACAGTCGTGGCCACCGATGCGAATCGGGATTTCGGTTGCAAGTAAGGTGGGAGAAGCGATCTCGGGCTAAAGCAGATGGATTTGTAGATATTTATGCGAAAGCACATGGAAAAAATGATAAAAAGGTGTTAAAAAAGGAAAAATATAAAAGGAGATAGTGATGGACACTTGTGTGTCGGAACTATTGAATTTTGCTGTTCGAGTAACATATCAGAAAGGCGCGCTGCACCAAATGACCACTAGCAGTCGCTTGCGGGATACTGCAAGGTCATTCGCCCCTATACAGGCTAAGATAAGCAATCTGTGGATTACAGACTAGTTGCCAGGATCGATGGGCCAATGGCCGATCTCCTCAGAGAGAAGACAGACCAGAAGTGAACATAATTCATGGCAATTTGGTATGCGTACTCATGACTGTGGTGGTTACTTCGAATGTGTCAATCGAGAGAAGAGGATTTCAATTAGGTAAGGTTAAGAACGCAACCATCTGAAGTGCAGAATTAAAAGAGGAGAATGGCATCCCAAAGATGCGGACCATTTTGTCTTAAAGATTGGGTCACTTCAGTGAGTGTGACTGGTCATTGGACAGCTGTTCGGATTTACCTGATCTGGGCGACAGAGAAATCAATTTCGGTCTGGGTCGAACTCAAAGTCCATCACATAGTCGTCCGAATTACATGTTGCATAAAATGAAGACGGATATGATCCGTCTGCTGTACGACGTTGGTCACAACAGCCACAAATGGAGTTTGATAAACACCAAAGAGCGGCCATTAGAACTCGGAATGTTCACAGATTGACACTGAGCATTCAATCGGATTGTGAAATATCGCGAGGATGCTCACTCTACTTAATCGATCATCGCTTCCCCTTATAGCACGAAAAGCGGTGAATATACAACGCAGTGAGAAATAGTTTTCCCAGGAAAATGAGTGACCCAAGCAAATGGCTAACATGAGAGCCTATAAAACAGTCAGAGAACAGAGTGATCGCGCCGTAGTTATTCATGCGAGGGATAATGGTGGAAGCAGGATATCTCGTGGAACTCTCAGGCCAAATAGCAAGGAAATGGGGCCACTGTTCTCCTTTCGAAGAAAGTCCCCGTGATATGTACCAAAACCGATCTAATCTGCCTGTAAACCAAAAACCGAACGTGATGCATGAGAATAGGCCACCACTTCGGAGCATAAAGGGAATGAGGGTCAGAAGCAAAGGAGTCAGTATTAAAGCTTAAAGCACCTAATGGAACCACATACTTGGACTGATTCACATTAGTCGTCATGTTGAAGTTGCATTTTCAAAGGTCGAACTTGGTGGGCAAATTAGACGACAGATATCCGAGAGTGAAGAATGGGCAAGCAGCACTATCACAGGTTGGTGAAGATATACGAAAAACCTTGATGGTCAAGGTAGAATACGGCTGAATAGAGATGCACTGGAATCCTAAGTTTGAGCAGTTGAAAAGGACACCATATTGATGAGAAAATGAGGAAGTCGCGGGTAATACTGCTAACAGGTGGATGCTGCAAGCCTAGTGCAGTCAATCAAACATAGTCCGAGCAGCTTGTGACTACGAAAACTGTGCTGAAAGGAAGATCACCTGGTTTCAAACTATTGATTTATATGGCGTCAGTGATCTGAATAATTTGAAAAGTGCCCCAATGAGTAGCTCGGTTGGTCACAAAGGCACACAGATCATTATATCGCGTTGAGATTTAATCTTACGGAGTCAGACGGGTCAGAGAGGAACTTAGAACAACGTACGAAATGAAAAGCGAACGAACCGGTGGACAACTGAGTGACGACATTCATATCGGGTTAAATAACGGGTAAAGTAAAGCTGAAAATTGAGGAGTGACAGGAGCGGCGAGAAAAGACGCCGTCGATCGGATCAAGTGGAGATCGTAAAGTAGGGAAACAGTACATGACCGAGTAACTAAGGTTGACGCAGGAGGGTGATCGCACCTTTTTAACTTTGGGGATGCTTTTCACTTTTGGGTAGACTGCCTCCAAGTTCAGCAAATGACTTTCGATAATACCTGTAAGTAAAGATGGGAACGGAAAGAATTAATGTCTATGACGGGTACGAGCGTACGCAGTAAATTTGGGTAAAGCAGCGGATTTTTTATTTTTAGAAACCCGAAGAACACACAATACATCGGTAGCAGCATACAAATCTGAAAAACGGGAAATAGAACTTTAGAAGCACCTGGTTGACCATTCCGATAGGCGATATGCACGTTTGCTGATTGACTGCAATAGATTAATTCATCCGATTACGAAGATTGCAAATGGATCTGTGCGTGTGGAATCCTTTCAAAAATGCAAATGAGCCAGTCACTAAGCTCTAGAACGAAGTTCTACTCCCCACACCGCTCGGGTCAGAATAGTGTCGGTGTAAAGGGCCCTCAAAATTTACACCATAGAAACCGCATTCAGCCGCATCAGTATTGCCGTTAATGAAAAGTTTCGCCAAACATGCACACCAGGCCGGGTAGGTCGGCCTCAAGTGGCACGTGACCAGGCCATCAGATTGCGAGCATGATCAGCTGTTGCGGTGCCCGAAACGCACAGGCGACCGTGACTTTGATGCAGCTTGTCATATGGGTAGGCTAAAAGTGCAAAATTTTAAGACAGGATGTCCAACGCGGAATACATGGAGCATTATTGCGTGTCTTGTATGCCCAGTCCAGCTGCACTTTGACTAAGCCGAGGTCATTTGCCCGTGAATCTAAACGTAACAGCTGATATGGTAACCGTAGCCTTGGGTACGGAAACAAGTGAATATTATCAGTGAGGTGGCCTCAAAAAGGATAGTCATACTTCCGCACCTGATAACTACGATGGGCCGTATCTGGTGAGATATTGACTGACAGATTCCCCGTATGCGATCAAATTCGAGTCTGGCTGCAGAAACTATTTCACGTTGTGGTATGGGCATCGGCTAACCAGTAGTTATTACTCATCTTGATGTGGAACAGTTACGACGTGATCTGGTTGACTGAATCGGATAGTTTGGATGGTGCTTGCCTCAATCTCGCCCACGATGACCTTTGTTCAGGTTTGAAGTGACAACGTGTACGGGGCCGAAAAACGAATCTCGGATCTAGTGGAATCTAGATTTTAATGTATCTCATCAGGTTATAAGGTGCCGTGAAGACGTTTGGAATGACCAATTTTCAACGAGTGTGTGTGGGCTGCGCCACTTAAGCACAACATGGAGCGTGAAGAACCTAGACAACACCTGGATTTTGCATCTGGCCTAACGTATGCCATACGCCATACTTGTATTCAGAGCAGGAAATCGTTCAGTTTCCTAAGAGATCGCTAACGCGACGCGTCCGACCTCATCTGGATACTCGTATAAACACCAATCGTGAAAGTGGTGTCTGCTATATTCCCAATCAGTATTGAACAATGATTGTTCAACACAACGTAGGCCCGGTATCTATTCTTCATGATCAAAACACAATGGGTTAGACTCCGGGAAATGCGTCCGAGAAAGAATAAGGCAGAATGAGGAAATCAAATAAGAGATTTGGTCGGCCTGGTAAATGCCGTCTTCTTGGACGAGGACACGCTGGTTATCAATTTCGTCCATTAATTCAAATAATGGCAAGTTATTTTCGACATCAAAACATATAATTATATAGATAGATAACTAGATACTCGCCACAGCTGACCGTATACCGAGGTACGCAACGGTACTCACTAGCTTATTCAATAGCGCTGGATTAGTTGGTGGATAAGATTCAAGGAAAACTATGTCGCCCAAGTACGCATAATACGTCGGTTGGCTACCCGGCACAATATTCACTCAGTAAGATGTTGTGGCAGATGTTGCCTTTTGAGTTCAGTAGTTTAGCGGTAATCCTTACGCCAGGACAACTATCTCTACCTGGGGTTTTAATTAAGGATGAAAACAATCGTGAGTTGCATAAAAAGTCTATACATCAAGTGCGATACCAGCGGTTAGAATAAATAAGGCTGCTGTTAAACAAGAATAATCCAGAGCAGTTAGTTAGTGAAAGGAATAATGGGTAGAGTGCAACTAAGGAATCAGCGCACAAAAGCAGACTAAGAACCTTATATAGTACAGATGCGAGGGCATCGACTGGCGATTGGCTTTGAAAACAGCTGAGCACACACACCTGATGACAACATGACAGATGTTGTGCTCGTTGATGAACCGAGCCTGGGATAAAGTCCTAGGAGTAGCCATTTTACTGTATTCCTATGGGCTCAAGTAACGACCTGTTGGTGAACAGTGATTGTAGTGGTTGATGTGCATTGGATTTGATATGCAGTTAAGAAAATATTCTAGGCTGTCACATCGGATTAAACTGGGCTGGGATCGCTAGAAACTCAGAACGGAATTTGCATACACAAACACGAACACACACATATATATACCCACAAAGAGGGATTGAAAATAATTACGAGGCTGTACTATATGCAAATTAAGCGCTCCTACCTTCAATCTTTTCGTTTATTCTCGAAGCGAGGTCAGATCGCAGATTGTTCTCATCTGTCACCTTTTCTACAAAGAGTCGAAGCCAAGCCTCTAGTCGTGAGATATACTCCAAAGCCGAGTTCACATTAGAGGCCCTGGCGCGCTCGGAAGCATGGCGACTAGAGGAGATAGAGTGAGGAGAAGGGGGCAAAGTAAGGAATGTAAAACTTTGGCAAGCTAAAGCAATACAAATCAAACATGCAGGTTAGAGGAAATCAACGTGGTCAACGTGGACCCAGTAGGGCTTCGTGGCGTTGTTGGAACATCCACATTCCTGAGCTAGCTTCCATTCCCGTTTTAAAGTTTGCTACCTGTGATAATGGCGAATTTCTGTTAAACAATATCTGGGCCGCCGGATTTTTTGACGTATAGCACCACATCCCAGCAGGATTGCAATCTCGAACATTGCTGTGGTAACGAATGTGATAACTTAAACAGAAGAGTGAATCAAATGTTTCGAGATAGGATTTTTCGGAATTTTCCGTTGCGAGGGAAGAACAGCGGCATAGATTAGCCGGAATTCATGAAAGTCTACACGAGGTAAACGCAACCATGCGTTACTTGTTACACGTGATATCACTAGCCAAAAACGTCAGTAACTCCCGTCAGGTCGAAGCTAAATCGTTCGCAGTGCCCAGTAGATGGGCTTCGTCGTGGAGTGCATACTTTGATAAGCTCAAAAATTTCGCACTTACGAAGAGAAAACTTGGCAGGCTGACATTTGAAACCGAGCGCATCATGGAAGCTTACGTTTCACCATCATAGGTAAGGGAGTTGGAATGGGAAATCTCCGGTGCCGTCGTCCTGCTCTTCTTCCAGTTGCTTTCAAAGCGATCTCCATGCACTGAACCGTTCTCTCGAATGATTACACGGTTAACGCCGTTGGTGTAACTCCCATCCTGTGTGCCAGAGGCGCTGGGGTCCACATGCATATCGTTTGTGCTACTTTCGTTGGGATTCCCATAAACCGTCGCCACGGCAGCACCAACATCGATTGAGATGCGGAAGTTCACGATGAGATTGATGAAATGAATGATTTGGGCATACACAGTGCTCTCCTCTTGTGTCTCTAACGTGGTCTGCACTTCCTTCGGTCGAGAACGGCCAATGCGCATTTCCTCGGCAGCAATCTCCAGCGTGGACATGTTAGATGAGTAATTAGGACGCTGGCAATTGGACTAAAGAAAAAACAGGGGGAATCGAGATAGAGCCTGTTGGATAAGGTCCAGGGAATACCCAATTACAAAAAAATGGAGCATAAGATAGAAACCAAAGAAAACACATGATGAACTGATATAAAGCTCGATCTATAACCTAAGCAAAACGGTATGGAGTACAGATCCCATATGGAGTAATGTGTCTAGTGCCTACTGTGCTAACTGCGAACGTCAATGCAAGATTATACGAAATAAATGTTGGAGAAAAACGGTCAGAAGGAATCGAGTGCAGTTGAGACGACAAAACGGACAGCAATGTGGATTGGGAGTGCAGCGCCCCGTGAGGTGGGGCAAGGATATCAGATACAACCAAGAAGACGGAGTGCCTAGCAATATGGAGGCGCAAGGACACGAAAAAGGAGGATGTAATGGGAGTGTCATATCAGAGTGAACGGGCCAGACAACTGATGGGAGATGGACATAACGAATTCGATTACAGGACATGGATTGGCCAGTATTCGTGCGAGTTACTCACTAGTTGTTTAACTGAGTCAAAGGAGAAAATTCGTCGGCTTAGACGGGTCGTTAGTAATGGAAGTGGGTGGACAATTGATATGGATGGGTTTGGTTTGCCAAAAATGCTATAATTTTCGTTGGATAACCGCTTGTTCCCAAAGAACTAAGTTCCGCAACATGGTATCAGAGAAGACTAATTTGAACTTCATTGGCGGCGCTTGGATGCAGGTTGGATCACCAGCGGTTATTCAAATGTCTACTCCATTGAACAATGATGAACGGAACTTAGTGAGTAATTGGCGTCCATGGAGGAGCAAGTGGAAAGTTTGGAGAGCGGCCGTTGGTGTATCATTTGGCCATGTTTCGACACGCATAAGGGAATGACGAGCGCCATGCTAAAGACGTTGCACTACGACAAAAATCCCACCTCTGGCACCAGGTTGCAGAACAGTACTTAAGGGACAAGCGTTTAGTCAATAAATTCAACTCAGCGAAAATTATCGCATGTTCGGCCAGCCAAATTCCTCGACATAAGAAGGCAGTCCACGTCCATAACTAAGGACTTTCCTGTGCCCATGAGTTTCCTCTCTTGACTCAGTTAAACAACCAGTGAGCAACTCACACGAATATCCACCAATCCGTGTCCAGTGAACGAATCCGTTACGTCCGTGTCTCATTGGTTGGTTGGCTCGCTTGTTTGGCCCATCCGTTCACTTTGATATGACACTTCCATCAGCTATCACGTTGCATATGAGATGTTACGAAAGCGGGCAAGAGTATAGTTGGCATTGAGAAGAAGCTGACCTAAGTTTTCGAGATACCTATGCACACAATATCTGGGCATAAAATTCCGGCTGAAGGACACAAGCGTAAGTAACGGCTCAGGCGATCGATGTTGAGAAACAATTATCATCCAAGTGGACGGCCGATGGCGGCATACTTACGAAAACGGATAAATTTTCAGTTTGTAATACATCATAGAGCTTGTCTCTTAGGTGGGGAACAGAAGCCGATAACAACATACGGCCAATGCAACGATTGTACGCACATGAAGATAATTCAAAAATGCAACGGCACAAACAATCCACTGAACTGCCCGTACTTTTTCGGACGAGCGATAAGTGTGAGGAACTTAATCCGCTTAGAACATATCAGTATCTGGACCAGAACTATGGAATCGCGCATAACAATACATAGAAAGACTTTAGAAATGGTATGACAAGACCGCCAATGGAGATACGGCATTCGTTCGCATGGAGCTAACTGCCAAACTTAAGACATGACAATTTCTGCCACTTTTCGATAAATAATAGTTAAATAGTAAATAGAGAAAACTCTTACTGCAAGTGGAGCACGGGGCACAGCGGACTAGCCAAAAGGTGAACCAGTGTGTGCACAGTGCAAGAGACTTAACGGAAGTGGCGAGGAAGTGCGCGCACACGAGTGCGTGAAACCTGTCACAAAGTAAAGCAACGGCTGTGTGTACGATTCGGAGTACGGTAATCCATCAATCTGGAAGCTGTCTCCATACGACATTTATAGTGGGAACCAGAGTTGTCATGTAGCAGTTTTCCGTTTCACATCTGTGATCTAAAGGTTCATAAGTGAGTCGATCCCCTCAGCCGTTTCCAGAGTAGAAGCTTTACCAAGTAACCAATTGACAAATCCTTTGTATGAGGACGATAAAGCACTTACTGAGACTGACAAACCAAATGAATATGCTGGCAAGTGTAATGTACGGTCGGCTTTTGCAAAGAGCATGTTACTGTTGAATGATTGGACCAGTACACCTTCGGTTCGAGCTACCAAGGAACAGCCACTAGAAGTGGTCCATCGGTACACCTACTCAGACAGTTGCATCATCTCTGGTAGTCATACCGCTGAGGGGATTTCACGTGCCAGCAAAGCCCATGTGGCTTTTCAGAGGGTTAAGCATCTATGAAGACGGCGGAATGTCAGTCTGTCAGTAAAATGGTGGGGTTTACAACGTTGTAGTGAAACCGGTGGTGAGAATTGTGGGAGACTAAGCCTCCTTGATCATCGGTGCTTCACAGTATTGCACATATCTAGTGGAAACATTGGGTGAATAATGCAGAAATAGGCCAAGTGGTGTTTGGAGAAAAACCTGGTACTGCACCGGAGTTTAACAAAACTTAAATCGCGTACACTGGCTAGGTCATCTCCACACTTGTATCCACGTTGGCCGCTTCTTCGGCGTGTATTACACGGTGAGCCCAGTTGAGCGGAACCGAGAGGTGGGCAAGCAACGATGGTGTATGGAGGCACGGAAAAAGTGACCAAAAGATATGATCCTGTAAGTCTCTGCTTTCTTGATGAGTGGGTCACATCAGTTGTCCTGGACTTTGGTTCATGTGTCACGGATGCGAATTAAGTGATATCCCCGCATTTCGGCTTCTTGAATCCAGCTGATAGTGTCCCATCCCGATTTATTTCACCTTTTCCCACTCCTTCATTTGTACTGTGCTTACGTCCTACCCTATTTTCTTCACCACTGTCATTGTTATCCTGGTGACACGAATCGTGACAGCCGGATTCAGTTTACATCGAGGCTAGGAGCATAAATGTTTAACTGAACTGAACCGGGTGACACGGTAATTTTATGCCCAACCGTACAACCGCATCAAGATTTAGCCAGTATAATACGCCAGAAGTGGGATTGTATCATATTTATCCATAGCGCATCACCGATAAGGCATGAGGAATAGGAAAGCAGGGTTACTGTTTAAAAGAAGTTCGAGAAGCACCTAAAGTGAAGATATGGAAGCGTGTGTCGTTTTCGTAGATATGGGAAAATGGAATGTACACGTAATTTAGACCAAAGAGAGAAGCCGAGTAGAGCTTTCAAATTCAGAAAAATGAGAAATTCCACTCCTAAAAATGAAATTCCACATATAACTCATTAGCACACAAACAATAAATGGTCGGTTCGGCTAGGAGACGAATGAAAAGATGTCACCAACACAAGTTACGGATGTTGCGGAAGGCTCCGTGCTGGGTACAAAGATAGCTACGTGAAAAGCAGCCTAAATGCAAAGACGATTTAACAACACCCAAGGCAACGACATACTTTCCCGCTATCAAATCAACGATTGCTTCTTTTCAACCTAGATCCACCACAGATTCAGCATAAAAAGGGCCGTTCAGTGTAAACAGTATAGAAGTATACGCAGAACACACTGTATTGCGGCATATTTGGTGATATCAGAAAAAATATAACCACTGCAATTAAGTGCTCATCTACGTATTCAAACGTTGCAGACAGGCTTGTGCCACTCGACATGAGCAATGCTCTGTGATAGGCGTCAATTAAACATCAGAAAGTAATCAGGAGCTTGGGGTCGAAGGAAGGAAGAACAATCCACATTGCGTTACCGCATACAAAGTCATCAAGATAGAATGAAAGCGCCTTCTCGAGTCAAGAGTGTTCTGTTCTTTGCATTAAGTCAGTCAAGTTCGGCAGCCTCAAGTCTGTCCCAACCGAAGAATCTGGTAACTTAGCTAAAGTTCACCGTCAAGAGGCTGGAACCATCAAGTGGCTGCCGGTCCTGTAACGACTTAAATAGTATAAGACGTACGCGAGACAATGGAATGACCTACACAGAACTTTGAAAAAGGTTCACCGGATCGTTGCGTGAGTGAGCCAACTCTCCGCAGGAAAGCGTGCAACCATTCTCAAACATGGTAGACGCGTCGGAGTTGGAATTGGTTGTGCCAAAACGGTGGAAAGCTGTGATACTATTACGAACCACAGCTTCGGATGAAATATATAAAACAACCAGTTCATCCTGATTCACGCAAGACCAGAGTGGTTTAAAAAGAAGTGTGTCAGTCGAACTGCTGCAGAAAGTACAAACAACTTAAGCAAATGAGGTTCGATATCAGGGAAATCAATCGGCAATACCTTCCATGACTGTTTCATCAGACTATCGGGTGATTCATTAGAAACCGGACCCTAATTAGTAAGTAACGAATAACACTCAGTTCGGAGAGATGTCCAAGAAACGACGCACTTTAAAATGGGAAGAAGGTGTTCCTGACGCTAGAGATTATTGTTTAGCTGACCAGAACAGTAAAAATGTTGTTCAGCATGAAGTGTAACATTCGATACAGCACTTCCAGTAAAATCGATAAACTACGAGATGGTACAAAAATTTGAACGAATTGCAATTGTTGCCTACTCCATATTTTCAGCCGAATCCAGTAAAGTTGCCTACAGTCCTGAGGTTCCGTATTAGTTCTCAAATGATAACCAGCCTTGTTGCATCGTGCTCCGTGCCAGTAAGGGTTATTCGGAAACACAACAAGCTTACTAAGCTTTAAGGAATCTAGCGTCCGGTGAGCTGACGACTAATAGTAAGGCCACCATGCGTTGCGTGATAGCGGAAACGTTACTGCATGGAAACCTGATTACCTCATAGGAAGACAACAAGGATGAAGTTCGGAGGGCACCCTCGTCAGCTTAGTCCACTGCAGGTTGAAGCTGC